TCTTGTATTAATATCACTTTTATTTGCATGTGAGTATGTTAGTTAATATAGTCAATTCGAGTCTGTTACGCTTGCACGTAAACACGTCATTTTCATGTGCTTGAACTATTACGATTTTATCTGGTCGGAAAACGAGAACGAGGATCGAGGATCCAGTGGCACGACATGCGACTCAAATCCGATTATCCCAACCCCCATATTGAGTAAAAAAAGACAAGATTTGATATGAAGTGGAATATGTATTCTAAGAGCATGCAGAAAGTACGCGGTCCGAGCCCAGAAGAGAATCAGGCTCCCGGACTAGGGATCTGGGACTGGGTCCTGGTGCTGGTCCTGATCACAAAACGTTACACATAATGCATATTTATACATTTTGGTCGAATAGGAAACAGCATTGAAGTCAGTGACATTGACAGTTAAGACGACCTATAGGAAGCAACATATGAAGTGACACTGGTTATCAGGACAACCAATAAGAAACAACATTGGAGCACGTGACATTGATATCTAGGACGACAAAAAATTGACCAGTAGGAATTTACTAATAGGAATTGACCAATAATTCCCTTAGGATATTGGATGAATATCCTAACAGAGTCAAGAAATCCGAAATCACTATTTTCATCTGAATGGTTGTTTAGAGTAGAATCATGTGAATCGCTTGCCTTTGTAGATGCACGGTTTTCTAGAATAATACTTTTAAGTGTTGTTTCAGAAAGTGATTTGTTTGTTTCTTGAGTTAAATTATTTGATTTAAATGTACCTATGTTTATACTGAACAAAGAACATTGAAACGAAAATTGATGTATACACAAAATAGATTTTCATTAAGTTTATATTGTATTGATCAACATTGATTTATCTGAATGGATATTTTTAACTTCTCACAATTACACATTTATACTGATTCATTCATTCATCTATAGTATTCTGATTACCTGTACCTTGTTGCCTCAGTAAATTCTAAATTAGCAAGCATGTGATGGAATGTCAGCAGTGTGTTTTAGTCAATCAATATCCAGAGTATATTGTTTATGCTTGAATATATTTAACAATTTGTAAGAATCGATCCAATGTTTCTTGCTTTTCAATTAATTATACTCTTAGAAAAAGAAGATTATAGCATCTTTTGCAAAATATCGGGATATAATACTTAGATGATAGTTGTTGTGGTGTCGTTTATTTACGTATTTTTGTTTGTCTAGTTAAAATGATGGATTCCAATCACGTATTTATTGTCAAATGATTGGAATTGCTAAATGTTTCAGGCCACTTACTTACTTATGCCTGTTACCCCCAATGGAGGATAGGCCGCCCACCAGTTTTCCCCAACAATCTATGTCCCACGCTTCCCTTTCCAGTTCTGTCCAATTTTTCTTCACTCTTCTCATATCTTTTTCTATTTCTCAGCGTAATTTGTTCCTTGGCCTTCATCTATTCCTTTTGCCTTGAGGGTTCCATGTGAGGGCTTGTCTCGTGACACAGTTAGGTGGTTTTCGTAGTGTGTGTCCTATCCATTTCCACCACTTCTTCCTGATTTCCTTCTCCACTGGAATCTGGTTTGTTTTCTCCCACATTACGTTGTAGCTGTCTGGCCAACGAATCCGAAGTATTTTGCGAAGACAACTGTTAATAAACACTTCTATCTTCTGGATGATGGATTTGGTAGTTCTCCAAGTTTCCTTTCCATACAGTAGAACTGTCTTGACATTTGTATTGAGAATCCTATTTTTGTTGTTGATTGATATTGCACTTATCGATGCGTGTGAAATAGAATTGCCAGATCATCTGCGAAGTTAAGATCGTCCAGCTGCGTCCTAGCTGTCCATTGAATACCGTGCTTCCCTTCAGATGTCGACGTCTTCATAATCCAGTCGTTTGATGACCAGGAGAATGAGAAAGGATGAGAGTAAGCAACCTTGCCTCACACTGGTCTTCACCTCGAAAGAGTCTGTTAGCGTCATTGTTGTTTCGTACAATTGTCTCAAGTTTCCTTATCTTGCAGACTTTTCAGCTGTCAGCCCAAGGGGCATACAAGTAGGAGCAGTGAAATTAAACTAAGCGGATACACAAAATAGATCTTTATTACGTTTATTCTATAGTGATGAATATACAGTTTACTGAATGATTATTTTCACCTTCCTAAAATATATATATATATATATTTCTCGTAGTCTGATTATTCGTAAATTATTTTTGTAAACTCATAATTAGCAAGCATTTGATGGAATTTCAGCAGTGCATTTTAGTGAATCAATATTCGGTGTTCATCGGCACAAAATGATGTATTTTGCTGTAAGGTAGCTGGAGGCAATCAACTAAAAATCTAAATGAACTTTATCATATAAAAACTTGACATTCATAAATATCTCTCCCGCAGCTTGTGCCCTAAATTTCTATGCTCTTGTTCGGCTGACATTGATTGCTGCCTTCTTTTTCCTCTTTTCTTCAATTTTTTCGAGACTACAATCAGGGATCAATTCCTTGTAATGGTGTCTCTTGTGACCTAGAACTTCTTGATATGTTGAATTGATTGCCTCCTTGATCACTTTCCAGTCGTTCTCCAATGTTGCTTACTCTCCACTGAGTATATCGTGCAAGGCCTAAAACTTATTGGTGATGGCTATCTTGAATTCGTTGAGTTTTAGGGTATCACGAAGAATAGCAGTACCTGTGTCCTACCTTTGTCCAATACGTCCAACTGATTCCAAGCAACTCCAAGTTGTATCTCCTCATTCCTGCAGCATCTTGAAATAGTCCTCCAGTCTCCCACAATGTTCGAACGTTCTACGTACCTAAAAGAATGGTTGCTCCGGTTTTCAAAAGAGGCATCAGCATCTTGACTTCCTATGGAACTCAGCTTTCATCATGGGACACCACTATAATTCTCCCGATTCCAAGGTCAGAATTAAAAATGTTTGATTTATTTTTTATGGTCTCCTTTTTTTGGCAAGTTAGTTTAGCCCTAGGATTGGGGCGCCAGCCATATGTGTAACCGTTCCTCCTTTAACCAGGCTTGGGGTCTGCAGAAGCCCCGAAAATACTATTGCTGGAGTTGAAACGAAAGATTACAAAGGTACATTTCCTGTTTTGACTAAACAGATCACAACACCAAATCTAACGTTCTCCTTCATTGAAATACGAAAGCTACAAACTTCACACTGCTTTTATAATTACTCGAACAAAACAATTCTCTTGGTGTAGTTATGTGCTCTTGAAATAAGCAAAACATGCAAGCGTCTTATTGGATGCATTGACAACATTTCATCAGAATTTATAATTTCGGAGAAAAGACCAATCCTAAATATTGTTGGCACTCGGTGATCCAGTTGATGTATTTTGATAGTAAACTTGACGAAACTAAATGAACCGAGCAGACTGAAACACCGTAACTGGTTCGTTGGAAGCAGTGAATGAGAAAGGCTGAAGCTGGGTTTCGTACTAGTTAGTTCTCTATACTAAGGCGTATCTGCAATCTCGATTCAATCGATATACTCTTGTGGATTGGAACTTCGTTAAATAATTTACCCTGTCTAGGACGTGGTAAACACGATGTTTTGACTCTGGAGGACTGAGATCCTTACACGCAATTACCAGCAGGATTAACACAATACTAACGAATAAACAAATTAACCGTTAAAAGAGCAATATAATTTCAGAATTTCGTGGCATTGAACTAGTGTTATACTGATCAATTATACTTTCTATATATTGGTAATGAGATCCCTCAGTTCAACAGACAAACAATTGCTTTCAAGGTATAAGATTAATCTGAATGATTCACAATCCATTCATATCACATTCACCTAGTATTGTCACTAAAGTTGTAAGACTAAGGCATTTAGATTAAAGGAGGTAGAGACATCAAAATACTACCTTGATACATATCGGTTTCATCACTTTTCACCTTTCAATCAGAAAAAAATAACGATTATAGAATTATTAGAGTCACTTCAAATGATGAAAGTTTAGATACAATCTCAGAAATAACTGTCAACACTTCTATCATAGTTATTAGAGCATTATGATTCCAGGATTTCGTGGCAATGAACTAATGTGATACCGATCTATTAAACTTTTAATGAATCGGTAATAAGCTCCCTCAGTTAAACAGACAAACAATTGCTTTCAGGGTATACGATTAATCCGAATAATTCACAATCCATTCATATCACATTCACCTAGTATTGTCACTGTTTATTCACAATGGAACTTATAACAGTTATTAACAGGATAATATCATCAATATAATACTAAATGTCAAGTGAATTCAATAATCTAGAGAGTTAATTTTATTGACATGATAGTAAGCTCTTCTATTCCGTTGAAAAACTTTTTATGCATTTTCTCGATCTATGTATGTATTCAGATCACAGATGTTTTAAATAACCTGATTTTCCTTTCACAAAATTCACAAAACAATATAACTAACTATTACCATCTACTCAAAATCTACAAGCTCAAGCATTTTAACCATTCCACTCATTCCACAATGAATACATGATTCGTATCCTTCAATTCAACTAGCAGAAGAGAAATAGGTAAACTGATGTCAGCTCAACCAATCATCACTAACAATATCAGCGAATTTTACAAGTCATATTATCGTCCTCATGTTCAAAGAGTATAAATATGGAGGCAAGAGAAATCAAATCAATTCATTCAAATTATTAGGATTTATCAAGCGCTTATAGAATATCGATTGACTAAAATGCACTGCTGAAATTCCATCACATGCTTGCTAATTACGAATATACTAAAACGATTTACGAATAATCAGACTAATAAAAATGAATGAATGACTATATATATATGTATATATAATTTAAGGAAGTTGAAAATAATCATTCAGTAAACTCAATGTTCGTCATTATAGAATAAACTTAATGAAGATCTATTTTGTGTATCTGCTGATTTTAATTTCACTGCTCCCATTTGTATGTCCACAAGGCGAAATAACTTTTGAAAAAGATACATCAAATAGGACTGCGAATTCCAGGATGACCATGATTACAAAATCAGGAATGAAGACAACGAGGAATTCGTCAGAGGACAGAGTCCATGATCGTTCAAATGATAACGGTGATTTCGGATTAAGCGGTTCAAGTTTTCAGTCACGAATGAAATACTCACATGCAAGAAAACGTAATATTAATACATTAGGTTATCAAACATTTTACGGAAAACGTAGACGAGGCAGTAAATCTCATGTGCGCACTATATTCAGAAAGCGTTCTGGCTACGACTATAATGGTCGAAGGAAGAGGAGTTCCATATTCGAAAGTTATGGTGAGGCAGATAGTTTCGACAGGAAGAAAGTACGTGATGTATATGACGTAACTGGACAAGCGAATGAGAATCGTGAGCGTAATAAACTTGGTGGATACATCGAGAACCAGCATCATGTTGTTGTGTCTGGACAGAAAAAAGATAATCGACTGGGGAGTGATGGACAATCCTCTGAAAAAAGTCGCAGTACACAGAAGAGCAGTGGTAACGGCATGTCTGATGATACGACATGGAACGTCAGTGTAAGACAACGTCAGACAAATTGATGATTTACATTTCTATCGAATTTTGAATATTACCTTATTCTACATTGAAAACACGTTATTTCCACCGACTTACACATACTACGTACAAGTTATCTTAATCAAAGACTATACACGGTTTTTCAGTCACAAAACTGAGACAACAAATATACATCTAATACTAAATTATTTATTTTGTTGCAATTATTTATCAAGCAAAACAATATACTGCACTAAACCACGTATTGTAACAACTAGATATTTCAATGTAATCACGTTAACACACAACGAACATTTCAAAATCAAATTATTCACTTGTGAACGTCTTTTTATTCACATATTTTATAAAAGCTGAAAACTTACAATAAAATTAAATGAACCACTGATCAACGGAATATCACTTTTAAGTCTCTCAGCTTCACTTTATACCCGATTATTTTAAGTACAAACTACGGTTATGTGATAACACAGAATAATTAATAGGACACTGAACAGTGTAAATAATCGTCTGTCGTACCATCAAAATTAGGAAACGAAACTTCACATTGTGAATGATTTGCGTGAGGTTAATTTAATCAATGAAACGTAAGACTACAAAGGTACATTTCCTGTTTTGACTAAACAGATCACAACACCAAATCTAACGTTCTCCTTCATTGAAATACGAAAGCTACAAACTTCACACTGCTCTCATAATTACTCGAACAAAACAATTCTCTTGGTGTAGTTATGTGCTCTTGAAATAAGCAAAACATGCAAGCATCTTATTGGATGCATTGACAACATTTCATCAGAATTTATAATTTCGGAGAAAAGACCAATCCTAAATATTGTTGGCACTCGGTGATCCAGTTGATGTATTTTGATAGTAAACTTGACGAAACTAAATGAACCGAGCAGACTGAAACACCGTAACTGGTTCGTTGGAAGCAGTGAATGAGAAAGGCTGAAGCTGGGTTTCGTACTAGTTAGTTCTCTATACTAAGGCGTATCTGCAATCTCGATGGAATTGATACATTTATGTGGCTTAAAACTTCGTTAACCCGGTTATACGGTCTAGGACGTGGTAAACACGCTGTTTTGACTCTGATTGACTGATATGTTTGAGTTGATTAATCAGTAAGATTCAACTAATAATAATGATGAGAAGAATATACTGTTGGCCACAGCTCACAAGGCGATTTCGTTAAATATCCCAAATTAACTGAGGGCCAGCTGAATTTCGACTAACTGAATGATAACGTTAGAAACTGTGAATCTGGGTGATGTGTCCTCGAAGACACTGAAAGAAATTATTCCATGTTAGATCGCAGTTATGATTCATTGATGAACCTCTGATATTTTGAACTCCAGTTCAATGTTTTTAGTTGATTACCTCCAGCTACCCTACATCAAAATGCAGTTTTTATTTTGACTGGTTACCATTATGCGAAGAGAGAGATGGAATTTCGTACTCGAAACAATGCAGATGAACGTGACATTAGACTATACTATATGTTCAATGGGTGAGCAACAGCTGTTGGTTGAAATACATGTTTTTTTTATTTTGTTGTTCTGCTATCTCTTCGACCCAGTTCGTTTCACAGGAAAAGTGAGGAACAATGATCCGTGGATAACTGAATATATGTAACTGAATACATGCGGTTTATATTCCAGTTAGGCAAAACATGTTTGCCCTCTTTTGTTCGGTTCCATAAATAAATCAAACCAGTTTCATTAGTATTTACTTTGCATTCATCACTAAACTAAGCATCAATAAGCGGAAAACTCCATAACATTTGTCAATGAATACTGATGGGAAAATAAACCAGTTTATAGACACTTTTTTTAAAACCGTTTTCAAAAAACAATTAGTTGGAATATATTGTGGTGTTTGTTTAATAAGCTTAGTAAAACACTGTGGAATACAGTCAATATCACTAGCCATTCAAATAAAATTAAGCCTGTTGCTTATATTTCATTTCTTCAAAAAGGGGAAATGGAGCATCAGATTGGCGATACTCTAAGATTAATTTGACGAAAGCATCTAATCAAACAACGATACCGCTAATTTTACGTGTTTTCTATTTGCATTAATATTTGAATATGTTAATAATTTAGGACACAATTTTCACACTACTCCTCTCAGAATGTACTTCACTGTTGATTTGTTTGTGTAAAATAATGAAAAGGTAAAATTTACATTTTCAGTTCATGATTTACTAAAAGCTTCCACTTTATCTTATGAATGTTTAGTTCTCATCTAATGGAGTCCACTTATTTTGTAGGTCAGTTTCTAAACAGTAGTCATTTATTACGGTTAGACTGAAGTAATCAGTAGGTCACTAAACTTATTCACATTCTTTCAAGCCGATTTCCATGCGCACTTACTAAACCTATTTTCTGAATCTAATGTTTAGGCTGCCATTGCAATTATTTACAACACAGACTCTAACAATTCACTTACATTTGAGTTTGTGATTAGGCAATTTTGATGAACTTATTTAATTGACAGTCATTTGTATAGCAACAAATTATCTGTATGATTTTGCATGTATTATTGTCGCGTCTTCATGAGCACGTATGAGTGAATATTGCTTATCACCTACACACATATTCGTTTTGCTCACTTTAATCTTAGCCGCCTAAACAATCCGATGACTCATCCATTCACTACGTATGTGTGTATGTGTAGTCTTATTACTACCTACCGGCTGACTCACTTGCTACTCGGCACTGGCATATAATTTCACTTTCACATTGCATGCCTGTAGTTGTGGGATCTGTTTGTGGTGTGAAAATGAACGTCATTTACTCTTCGTATTCGTGTGTGGTGTTGACACCGTTATGCGCTATCTTGTAACGATTATCAGTATACGAAGTTACGGAATATAATGAATACCGACCACCACAGAATTGATGAGCCCATATCCACCACAAGACCTTCAGTTACAAGTGAGCACCACTATGAAAGTTTGGAATTCGTCATTCACTTTCATTTCTCGTGAATGAATAATACAGAATGGTAGAGCACATCCATCGGTATGCAATCATTTAAATTAGGTTGGACCGAAGAAAGCATTAGTAATAATTAACAATTCAGAATTCATTACTAAACTGATATATCATCCAAGCAAATTATTGAAGTAGTTAATTTGTACAGAAATAAAACCTACCTTCAGGACTACTAGAAATCATAACGTTTAGAATCGTCTAGAAATACGACTGTTGGCACAACTTTACAAGTTGAAACCGTTGTATTTCGTGATTAAAGTTCAGTATGAGCCTAAAATACTAATGAATTTAGAAATCGCTATTCCGCTCACGCAAAACGATCAATTTTCTTTGAGTCCGACAACGGCAATTTACACAGAACTCATTATCACCTAAAGCCTAACTAATGCTCTGGAAGAATTGCAAAGAACTTTAGATTCGAAAAAGAACATGTAGTACAAACGAATTGAAATAAAGAGCGTTTTAATAAAGGACAGTAGTTTAAACATTTGTCATGAATTAACTTTGATTTGAATATTTATAACATCGAAAGCCTTCTTAGTCTCCTCTAGCTTGAGTTATTTCGGATGAATTATGTAATTTTGTTTAAACTTGATTTGCGGTACTTGATTGTCAATTGATTTGCACACTGCATAGTACATTATGCAAGTCTATCAATTTCTCACACCCTTGCTCAAACTGCTATACTTAGAAATGTGAACAGTCGAAGCGTTTCATTCCTGTGAAGGAGGGAATGCAGTGTGACAAATGGTTCCGCAAAATGTGTGCCCGTTTAAAACACATAATGCCATACCAAAGTTATAAAATAAAACTGTACTTGATCGTTCTATACTAGGAAAAAGACTGATTTCTTCCCATATCTTTGTCAGTAATATTCCAGAATCGAACAGCCCTGATTTAACAAAAAGACACGTATTTAACCTGGAAAAGTTCAGGAAGTTTGTTTGCGACATTTCGCTAGATATTTCTGAGGGGGATTCGGTCAAACGATCGATAATTATACGTCAGAGGACTGAAGGGTACTTTGAATCACCACCGTATTTACACACATGATCTCAGAGAGGAAGTACGAAATATTTTTAACTATTGCTCAGCGGCAAGATAATGCTGATGTTCGAGTAGAACCTCAAATGTCTATCGAAGATGGCTTCTATAAGGCAATTTAGACTGTATTCGAAACCTGTTTACAATATAGTGAAGAAAATCTTCTAATGGGTTTCCTGGTGATCTTGTCTTGAAAGCTAAAACTACCATGAGCTGTACGAATGAACCTAGGAGATAAATAAACGAACAACTGCAGTCTAAGAATTAAATTTTATGGACTAAGATAATTGGTGCACAAATGAAATTTACTCATCATTACTGTGGCCGGAACTTAGTGAAACCATGACTTTGATATCACTCCAGAAACTTCGAGTCACGACTACCTAACACGCGATAGGAATAAACGTAGGGAAAGAGGCCTTGGCACTTATACACAAAAATAATAATGCAAATGACATTCATCTGTTTGTGAACCACATAATAGTGAAACGTCTGAATAATATTACTTATTCGCAAATAACAATGAATTATATGAGATATACCAGTTTACACGTTTAGTGGTGACCCAGTCTAGATCGACTATGGTCGCCACTAAACATTCATTACTATCCCGTCACAAATTAAAGAAATAAATCCAGGCACTTGTAAATAAAATATCAGGCCGTGACTACTTGAACTATATTTCTTCTAATTAAAACATCTGTTGCCTTATTACATTTACATAGGTTGACGAAAATAAGTAACTGGCAAGACAACAAATAGGTAATTGAAGGGATTCGTAAGAAAGGACTTGTCAAATATTATGCCGACTTACAGAATTTAGTAGTGAAGGTACCGTGATTTGATGCACAAGTTAGATTCCAGTCTTCACTTTTCCTACTAAGACTATCATGAAGTCATGAGTGAACTCCAGTTCATTGTTTTAGGCTTTAGGGTTTCTTGGTAGGAAGTGAAACCAGTTCAAGCTCACAAATATGAGTCAAAGA